GGATTCCTTTCTCTGACCACACGTTATAAACACATCTTTTGTTTAATAAAGATAGTACCCACCTGCGCTCCAAATACTTGAACTGTTTTATCCTAAATACGATCGAAAAAGAATTAAAAAATAATTTTTTTTATATAATATGCTGGGGTGAAAATAAAAAATAAATTTAGAAATTATGGGGAAAAATTTTGTTAACTATTATACTATTACCAAATGAATAATATCGATGAATAAATAAAAAGGCTGACCTTACAGAAATTAATTATCGCTGCCATGATTCGGATTGTTTCTACGTCAAGTGAGAAACTTCTTTTGGACCTGATGGTTGGCCCATATTAAATGTTGTTATATCAGTGAAAAAAAAATGGAATCTAGAGAAAAACACCTATCAAAGTCGTTAATAATAATGCTTTGGTCATCTTCTGCCCCCTTAAAAAAAAAAATATTAAACGATAATAAAACAAAATAAAATCTCAAAATTGAAGATTCTAAATATCAATAAAAAAGTTAATTCGGTATAATATTCAAATGTTTCGGAGGGCATTCCTATTGAAAAAAAAAAAAAAAAATAGAATACACTTGATATTACACATACATCGAGTACATATAGAGCTAATAGAAGATAAAGGTCCAAAAAATTACATTGTTACTTAAAAATAAATTCATAAAAACTTTTAAATTAAAATGTTAACATTTTCGGGCATGATGAAAACTCAGTGTAAATTAATATTTTAATGCATTGATGAGAAAAAAAATAATTTATTAGAATAAAATTACAAAGTGATTATTACGTAAAAAATATTGAGTATTATTTCTTATTTAAAGGATTTATTGTACTACTTAATTTTTTTCCTGCCATGTAACGACTAACAACTGTACACTGAACTGCTCCCACACAATCAGCAGCAAATTATAACTCAATTTTTTAAATTTTCAACAAAAAACCTAGTAAAATATAATTATTCTTCGAAACACATCTCAATTATTTCTGAAGTCTATCCTTGTGGGCCAATTGTTATATTGTATAAGATTCTTTGCTATACCAGATTGAAGTTTGTTTTATTTGTATACTACAGTCACACAAATAATGCCAATTAAACTTGTTGAATGTGCAGTACAGGTATTTAACGGAGGAGACATTCATTTCTTGCTGTTAGTCGTATAATATTTCACAGAAAAAATATGAATAAATAAGACTTATTTAGGCTTCTTAACAAACATAAAGATAGGTATTAAATTTGAACACAAAAAAAAATTTTTTAGGCTACGTATAAATCACTGTTTTGCAACAGAAACTTGCAGAGAGCACGATTTACGTGGTAACACGATATAGTCGGAAGTTAAAGTCAAGCGATTCATTAATTTTAATAACACAATAGTAGAAATTCATCGATTGACATCGTTCTCATTAAAAACGCTATGGTCATCCGTGGTCATTTCGTGAAATCTTTAAATCTCTAACGAATTCAGTTTTGCTAAGGATTCGGAACTTCTGACTCTTTTTAAAATATGTGCATCACCTAGAGGTTGAAGTTTGTAAAAGTTTGCAGAATAAGATTATTAACCATTTCAAATAAGAATTTTCCTTTCCTATTTCCAGTTATGGCCAATAATACAAGATCGGAGATTTCATTATGGGTAGAAATGTCTGCACGACTACTAAATTTCCGTTTCTATTAAGCAACAGCAACAAAATCTCTTTATTGAAAACTATTTTACGTACTATACGCCAAAGATCAATAAATCTCTTGTACACTCATAAATAAGTAGCAGAAGAGGCCAAAAACATCCAAATCTTGCGGTGGCAGGGGAAAAAAGGCGCTTGGTCAACCCTACCTTCGTTGGCGCAGGTAGTGTAGGAGAAAACAGCTATCGAGTTTGAGTAGATTGGCTGTCGTACTTAAAGGGTAGGAGCAACAGTAGCTCTTATTTGCTGCGAGTAGGTACGTGGCATTACTTTGCATTGTAATTGGTTGGAGTAATGGACTTCATATTCCATCGGCCTAGTTTGGTGGTGGTAGTCATGATGTTAGGGGTGGCTCAATATATTATTTACTGAAAACTATGGCATTGACATTGAAAATCATTGACGCACACGTTGGTTTACTCGATGGAATATTTCCCGTTTTAAGCAGAGACCAAAGAAAGAAGTAAAGGTATAGAAAATAAAGAGAATACGATTTTCTTTATTTTTGTTTTAACTA